ATTAGTTCACTGACGAAGATTTGATCACTAAAACTTTAAAAATTTAGCGCATTAGAATTATTACAAGGAATTGCTGACTCGGCTGCTTTGTAGATCAAATTGCGCAAGTTAATAATAAGAAATACTCATGATTTTTAAACGTATGACATGACGCCTGCGATTATTAAAGTATGAATAAGTCCAAACATTTGTCAATTATACGAAATTGTAAAACTGAGCTTTCGAAAAAAATCGACATTTTAGTAAGAAGTTGGCGTTGCATAAGTTTAGATATCATTTTTGCAAAACCATCCATAAATTCGTGTTATCCAGAGGGACCAGACCACTACAGGAAATGTAGTTGACGCTTGTCAGATTTTGTTATAAAATACTGACGAAGAAAACTTTTGCAAAACGCATGCATTAATATCGCTAAATAAAAACTCTTTAATAAATTCTTACACAATATCCGCCAAACTATGGAGAGGAGCGACAAAAATCCCAGCAAAATTTCCACAGTGGAAATCCAGAGAAGCTTTCGAAGTTTCAAGTTTTTTGGTTCCATGATCGAGCCGCCTGACATGATGGCAAACGTTTTTTACTTACAAGTTGTCGAGGAAATTTTAGTTTACAAAATTAATGTGTCTTTCAGACACCGCTAACGTCTAAGGACGGCGGCCCAAGGCACCGTTGTAAAATAAAGCCTTTTCCAGGAAGTGACGTCAATCATGAGATTATCATTTCCTGCTTGAGAGAAATGTGATCGCTGTTCCGAAAACTGAGCGTACCTGGCCGTGTCGCACCGCGCGCATTATTTACTGTTGTTAACATTTTCTCTGCACACCGAGCGGCAAAAATGATGCATGTTTGACGTATACGGACAGCTTTTCTCGCACGCTGGCATACACGCGGATGTACGTTACCAGCCTTTATCTAATGCGAACTATGTACAAAAACCTGTTTAAGCGTTGGAAATCCGAGAGTAGTTGAATGCAACAGTTGTTGGCATGATTATACGTGTGTTATTATCGTTTCACGATTGGTACCTGCTCCGGGGTTTGCGTCGTTTTCATATTCGTATACCGTGTAATAACTTGTACTAGAGTAGTAACTAATAAGCATACAAGTTGAAAATAGCACGAATGGCCGAACCCACAAATACTGTATGTACAGATATGGCGATTCGTTGCCGCACAAATCAATAATTTTTAGGGTTCCGTATAAATCAGTGCCCTTTTAGCTTGTTGCTAAAGACATACATCGTCTCATTTAGGGCAACACATTATATTTAAAAAAATTAAAACTATGCACGAAAAGCAGCTATCCAAGTCATAAGAACTGCAAGCGCTGGCTCACTACATAAAAGTTCAAATCTAATCTTTAATAAGATCTAAACCTTAAATCCCCAAATTATACTGAACTTTTAACCTTAAATCTTTATTTTCTCTCAGCTTACGGGGAATGTTTAAAAAACAGCCGTAACCATATCTGTAACAAATGCCGAAACTCAAAACGCAATCTACAGGAAGCGCTTGAGGATTATCTAAACGTTTTGATAGCTTTTCCGTATTAATATAATAACTAATTAGCTTCTTTTCCTAATTTGCTTTGTGCTTCAATAATTACATCAATTCTGGTGTAAACAATTAAAGGATTTAGCCTGGTACTAAATTCGTGCACATATTTGCACTAAATTCGTTATAGGTACATTAACGGGAATATGCGCTTTCGTGCAATTCCAAACACTTTTTTGTGTTGCTTTTTTGACATTGTGTAGCAAAATGATTTCAGTATACATAGGTGTCAGAGACCGCTCACTCGAGGCGGTAGACACCTCTTGTGGCTTGCTCTGTCGCCCGCCCGCACATGGCCACGCCATTCGTGCCGCGTTATTACGCTGCTAACTCAGCGTTCACTTTGTCTCGCTGACCAATCAGCGCATCGCAGCACTCTTGGGGGCGTAGCCCAGCGCCTACGAGAGATTCCATGCTTTGCGGCATCAGCTGTTGCATACCTGCAGCACGCTGAATCATTATCACGATTCTTACGAGCGCGCTTGCAGCTACTTTTTCCACAGCTTTTCCCCATCGGGTTTTCTGTTGGTTTTTGTTGTTGCTTTATTGTTACCACAATAAAGGCATATTTGCCCCCATTTTCCATCTGCTTCTGTGTCATATCTGACATGGTAGCAGACTCGCTCGGTTTTCCTTCCTGCGACACCTCTGCTCCCCAGTGAAGGCATTTCGGTCGAACTACGCTGATTGCCTAAAAGTAGGCCAGCCAACCCGCGACCATCATCTTTACTGCATCATACAGGTTTCGTTGGAAACCTGCTGCGCGACGGATTATTCATATGGGTCGGGCTTATAAGTAAGCCACCCGCAGCTTGGCTCCCCGCGCAAAAACTGCGTTGGGTACGTTCCTGTTGACCAAAATAAGCACCCTACCGGGTTGCGTTGATACGGGTCGGGCTTATAAGTAAGCCTGCGGCCCTCACGGTAGAAGAGGGCGAAGTAGAACGACGGAGCAGCAGTTTGGACGAGAAAAACTCGGTAAAACCAGACTGTGACGCGTAGGCTTCTCGTAGAACTTTCGAAAATTTCGTGGTTTTTCGTAGAACCTAAACTTTGCAAATCCATAACTTTTGAACCGTTCAACCGATCTGCTTAGAAATAGCATTTCCGGATTCCTCTCGAAATTCTACACTAGAATTGTGTAACGAATCTCTCAAGAAAATTTTACCCGATTTTTAACGAATTTTTGGCGAAAAACATCCGCCATTTTGTCCAGCCAGAAATTTTCGCGAAAAGTCGCGTGACGTCAGCGTGGTGATTTTCCATCAAATTTTGGCCAATCAGAACACGTGTTATAAGACTCGTAGTGAGTCATACTTTTTGCTCACGGCACGCTACTTGTGACGTAGAGCTAATTGCAAGACCACTAAGTATCTGACGTTACACTGGTCAGTAACGTAGCATAGGGCCATAGGGAGCTAAAGCTAATCCTAAGCTCTAGCGCACCTAACCAGCACCGACCCGATATCCAACTCAATGTTCCGGTCCAGACCAAAGACCAAGAAAATTTTCTAAGTCCGGGTGCCATGGGCCAAACTTACAGCGCCTTGGCCAAGGTGATGCAATACACCAGCCATGAGCAACTCTAACGGAGATTGCTCAGTCCTATAGACCGACGCCAGCCAAACGAATATACCAGGCCCCTCGGGAAGAACTACGCCACGCGTGAGCCAACGGGACCTTACGGGTTTCGTAACGCCAGGCAGAACAGTTCCAACCCCGAAGAGCCAAACTTGGCCGGCTCTACGAGTTCGGCCGAGGCCAGGGCCAGGCGGGACAACCAAATCCTGCCGGCCGATCTGGAGACAAGCGATGAAAGTTTGGACGCCACCCAGGACGACACATTCCTGGAAGCGTCCGAAGGGTTGCTTGAGGCAAACCAGCCTCAAGACAGCCAACCTGGCGCCAACAAGCCGGCCCAGGCCAACAGTGTCCCTAGGGACTGGGCGCAACAACCGGCCATACCTGGCTCGGGCCAAGTCCAACCTGCGGCGCCAACGGCAGCCACAGGTGAGGATAAGACACGTACTGATGGACCCGGTGCTGATAACTTGGCCCGGGCCAACCTTGACGTCCAGGATCTGATAGCAAGTCCAACCCTATCGGGCTCGGACCAGATCCAACCTGAGGCACCAACGGTGGCCAAAGGTGGACGCAAGGCCAAGGGCCAAGCCAAAAGGGCTGGTCCAAAGGCACATGCCCAGGGCCAACAGCCCGTGAGTCAGTCGCCCATCATGTTTGAAGTCGATGGCTCAACCCACACAACGCCATCGCCAACCAATGACGGCATCGGCGCGTCTGGCCAGTCCAAACCGGATTTAGAGCCAATTGCGGACCTGACTCAACTTAACAGGGCCACATCCAGGATGGACTTGAACCAGCTCACCTGGGATACGAGCCGCGCCAAATCCAGCCCACAAAAGCTGATCCAGGTAACCCGGCCCGAAGAGATGGACGAAATTCTCCAACTCCGGACCAAAATACGGGACCTGACCAAACAGCTTGAGGCTGTATCCGAAGCCGCCTTGGCGTCCGAACGGCTGACGCAGGACGAGGTCCACAAATACAGGGACCTCGCATCCAAAGCAGAGTCATTGCTCACCTCAACGAGGATTGAGCTGACCCAAGCCAAGGACGACCTGAAAGCGGCCCGGACCACAATTGACGATACCGATTCGGATCGCCTCTTGAATGAAAATGAACGTCTTACCGACGACATGTCCAACCTGCAGGACGAAATCAACCGCCTGCGGAATGGATACAACCTGCTGTATGAGAGCAACCAAAACCTCATGCAGACGATCCAACAGGGAGAAGTGTTAAGCCAAGCGGTTCAACAGAAGGAAGCTCAGAACATGCAACTCCAGCAACAGATCGTTGCCCTCCAGAGCCAGCTCAAGACCGAATCAACCATTCGGGTCCAACTTGACCAGAACAGCGCCATTGGACATCAGAACTTTATCCAACTGAAGCGGGCTTTCATCCAAGCTAAACAGGTGATCCAGAACCAACATGACCGGATCATCACCTTGGAGGCCAACAATGCCGGCCTGGTCAAGGATTACCAGGCGGCCACCCAACGTATTACTGAACTGAACGAGGATCTGGAAAGGCTAAGCACGGAGAACGCCTGCTTAGACGAGGAGAAATCACACCTCGAGAATCTACATTCCGAGTTGTACATACTGGGGGACAGCGCTTATTCTTGCACTACGACGGTTATTCCTCCTTTTCGGAAGAACCAAATTGCAACCCGTAATCATCGCACATTTAACTACCGCCACTGCAGCGCCCGGGCATTATCGGAACACACCATTGGCCACATAAAAGGCAGAATTCAGTGTTTACGTGGTTTAAGAATTTACATTAATGACGCTGATGACCACACTAGAGCGATTTATTGGTTCAGATGCTGCTGTATTTTACATAACATTTGTGTAGAAAATACTGATGCATTTGATCCCGACTGGGAGGCAATCGATAATGACAACGATGACGAAGAGAACAACGGTCACGTACGCCACAACGAAGACGGACAAAGGAAGCGCGAGCGTATTATGCAGTACGTGTTAACAAGTATTAGAGAATAAAAAACGAATGTACAGATGGCAGTGGCAATAACTGAAGTTCAAATTGGATGGTGATTGTTGAAATTAAAACACTCAAAATAACTGGTCATTTACCGCATTTCCGTTACTGCGTAGTCGTAACTGAAGCCCGAGTCGGCGATTCTCAGCCTCCATACGCCGAATATTTAATTCATCGGCCTGCATGTTCAGCTGTTTTTCCTGGAAGCCGAGCTGTCGTTTTTGCATTTTCTCCATCCGGTCTTCCCGCAGTTTGGCAAGTTTCAGTTCTTCTTCGAAACGGCGGTCTTTTTTCTCTTCAATGGTCAGTAGTGTATCAGAAAACTCTGTCGTCTTCTGCTTTTTCTTTGGTTTATCAGCCGGCTTCTTAGTCTTATAAAGCACAATGTTCCCGGGATCAACAGAGAGCGGCTCGACTTCCATATCGCTGTACCCGTTTAGTCGTCGATCGTGATGGCTTAAAAACTCTTCGTCTCCGTCCATGTGTGCAACATTACTGCCACTGCCCAACGCAACCGCCCCAGCATCGTGTTCACCTTCATCATCGGGATCGCCTCCGCTGCCCTCCTCCATGCGCAAAACGCCCATGACATTGGCACCGCTGTTAATATTGTGGCCTGTATTCGAAACATACGCTGGTTCGTTCGCAGCTCTTTCCCACATAACAGCGTCCAGATCGAAGAAATACTTGAACTGCCGCAGCACTTCGTCTACAAAAAGCCAATAATCAGCAAGAATAAATAAAAATGAGTTGTGAAGTAGTAAAAATGAAAATTTTCACTTTTTTCAGATTTCTGCCCTAACTCGTTTTTTATGTTTTTATTTATCAAAGCGATCTGTGCGGTTAGGTTCTCGAAAAACAGGTTGTTGACATGTAAACACATGTTTTCCATTTTTTTGTCATCTGGAACTTTTAGTATCTCGGCACTAAACAGAACGGGACGAGCATTTCAGATGCTGACGTGACGGCCAGCTACTCACACACAGTCCGACTCATGGGTTAATTACAGAGGCATGGCATTAGCTGCCACGCTGCTGTGAGGGAATGCTTTAATGGAGTGAGTCTGTCTCAACTTCGCGTTCTGGTGACTTCCACTCTAATTAAATGCCTGCATGCACACAGCCTGGCATATAATTATGTCCTCAGTCTTCACATACAGCACTTAGCCTTACTCATATACGTAAATAGCATTACATCGCAGTGAAAATTGACAATCTTACCTTTAACCGCTTGCCGCTTAAGTCGATCTGCTCGATCTTCCCCAATCTTTATAATCCCATTTCCTGTCCCTTTCAGCCAGGTATTCGTATCTCTCCATTTGGTTTCAAAGCCCTTGATTTTTTCTTTGATGTTTTTGACGTGGCGCTCTCTGTTGTGGGGACCGCATTTGCTAACCAAGTATCTGGTAATAATTTTGGCAACGTGGGCTTTTGTGTTACCGCTTGTCTGCTGTGTCTGGCTGTTTGGATCCGTTTTTCCCGCGCATTTCTACTGTTGGTAGTTGGAATGGTCTTGCAGCCACTCTACTAAAAATGGCTCTTCTCGATCCGTCCAGATATGTTTCGGAGCTCGCGGTTTTTTTCGGTATTGCTGGTGATCCAGAGTCACTATTGCTCGCACTGGCAGCTAGAGTAGCAGGTAAAATATCCCCTGCACGGATGGTACCCAAAGCGTTAGAAGATGCAGTCGCCATTTATTTTATTAACAAATAAAAATATAAAAATTTCAGTGTTAGCGCTTCCAGAATGCTGAAAAAAGTGTAACTGTATTATCCCATTTAGTTTTGTGTAAGTGCAAACAGATTTTAGCAGATTTCTTTATGCAAGCGTTAAATGGTGGGAAATTCTTGTACTTCGTGTATCAAACTGCGTTATGAACCATGACTGAATGGATAAGTCAACGATGCCGAACGGTAAATCTGCTCGGGACTAGGTTTATCTTTCGGCATGTCTGCCTTAAAAGGGGTATGTGCTGACGGTATGCATCATATTTCAATAACCAATCTGTAAGCGCAGCCTTATTTCGACATGACGATAAATTTGTGTCGTTTTTTTTGGTACCATGTAAGTGGCCCGGTATATGGTACCAAAATCGTGTACATGCACGAAATCTTTCACTTTCGCGCACTCCCAAACCCTTTTTTCTTTTGTTTTATGACATTCTGTAGTCAGATGATTTGTATACACAGGCGAGAAAACCGTTCGTGCGCGCAACATCCGGTTCGGGAGCCATGGCACTTAGAAAATTCCAAAAAGTTTAAATGCATTCAAATGTCCCAAAAGTCTCATTATGGACCGATCTCCTTCAGATTTTGCACGTAAATGCACATGGCCATAAAGATCGTTTTTACACCGAGCCAGAGTTCCATGATTTTTTTCAAATTTTAAAATGAATTTTAAAATTTTTGAAATTCATTTTAAAATTTGAAAAAAAATGCTAGAACAGTGGATCGGTGTAAAAACGATCTTCGTGGCCATGTGCATTTACGTGCAAAATTTGAAAGAGATTGGTTCGTAATGAGACTTTTGGTACACCTGAATGCATTTAAACTTTTTGGAATTTTGTAAGTCATAACTCCCGAACCGGATGTTGCGCGCACAAACGGTTTTCACGCCTGTGTGTACAAATCATCTGGCTACAGAATGTCATAAAACAAGAGAAAGAAGGGTTTGGGAGTGCGCAAAAGTGAAATATTTCCTGCATGTACACGATTCTGGTACCATGTACCGGGCCACTTCCCTTAATATTTACCGTAGTTAGCGTGGGTGGTGACCGTAGGCTCACGAATCGGTTTGACCAACACAGATGTCATATGATAACTTCCCACAGTCGAATGTAGAATTCAGGGATTCATTAAGGAAGAAAACTCGTATCAACACCAAATTTTTCGGAACAAAGGGAAAGGAAATGTGAAGTATTGTATAAGTAATACTTTAATAGTTAATTAATACTACATAATTAATGATGTGAACAGGAACTGCGCAGCAGGTAGAATGACAGGAATATAACAGGAAGACGTATGAAGTAAAACAGTAGTTGCTAGGAAAGCAACGTACACGACAACTCGTCCCCACGTATCGAAAGTGATACGGAATTAAGTATCGGAACTGTAATTTATACGTACATTGAATTTGCACGGAATGTAAAATAGGAAGTAATTATAGTAGCGTACGCGAACTGTACCATTATGAAAGTAAGTAGCTATTAGAATTAATCGTATAAGTAAAAGTATTGCACTGCATTGTAAGGTGCATGTAGGAGTACGATCCAGGATCCAGGCAACCGAACTGGAACGGCAACAGGAATGCGAGTTGAATTCATCGCATCATCCAAGTGCAGGAAATACGGTGTAAACCATACGAACCGTAGTAGCAAGGTTATCCAACTTCAAAGTGTAAGGCGCCATACGAAGGATTTAACCATTGCGTAGTCGGCTCGAATAACGGTGTAACATTGTACGATACTGTGTATTGTACTCCAGGACAGGACGTACTGTACATTCGTACATAACGCGTTCAGGTTGCTCTGTGGATTACGGAAGGAGGTAAACAAGGATACATACTGTACGGAATTACTGGATTGCAGAGCAAACGCTGCAATGAACAATGGTGAAGGCAGGCCATGACAACAACCAACAGCAACTGAATGGAAATTCCCGAAAATGACGTGTAGTGCGAAAAAGCGCTCTGCAAGGTCATCAGGGCGTTAACGAAGAATTCGCTCCATCCAGATCATCCAGAAGGACGATTGGCATTACGTTGAGCAGTTTGGCAATGCACGTTCAGGCAACTACCCGGAACGAAGATCCAGTGGTAGCGCTATGGTACTGGCAGGGCGGTACCAGCAGTAAATAATATCCACCAGCATCGTGGGGAAAAGGGTGGCAGAGCATCCGCTGCCGAACAGGTGTGGGGCGGTGGCATTCTGCCAGGCGAGTGCATGCGGAATCGGCATCGGATCCCTCCCATGGCAGATTATGACCGTAGAGTGTAGTCGTAGGAGACATTAGTAAGCATGAATTCGAATTCTTCACGCCAATGTGAAGTATTGTATAAGTAATGCTTTAATAGTTAATTAATACTACATAATTAATGATGTGAACAGGAACTGCGCAGCAGGTAGAATGACAGGAATATAACAGGAAGACGTATGAAGTAAAGGTCAATGCTATGCGCAGGAGTTTTTCATTTTTAAGAAAACTCTGTACGCCAAAATCTGCATTTGAAAAGTCGTACAAATTCAGTTTGCAGTGTACTTACGAATTTTAGTACAATAATTCATATGTGCGTTGCGTTGTGGTTCGTATGTACATTATTTGGCTAAGTACGTGAACGGTACAGGTAATGTTTGCAGGTACTGCGCACTGCACGTTGGCCTGTACAGCACCTAATCCAAAATAACACAAGAGCATTTGGAATCCAAATGCTCTTGTGTTACAAGCAATCCCGTATGCCAGCAATTTCAATTCGTCTTTAAATTCAGCACTGTGTGCAAAGTACTGCACAGTGTGGATCTATCCACATATACCTAATTCCGTGAAAAGGTGAAAAGACAGTACTTTGTGTGAAGTACTGCACAGTATGCATCCATCCACGTATACCTAATTCCGTGAATAGGTGGAAATTCAGTACTTTGTGTGAACTTTGAAGTACTGCACAGTATGCATCCATCCACGTATACCTAATTCCGTGAATAGGTGAAAATTCAGTACTTTATGTAAAGTACTGCCAGTACTTTATACTACTACATGGCGTGAATTCGTGAACCGGTGAAAAGTCAGTACTTTAATTATGCAAAGCACTCCCAGTACTGTCAAGGAAGATTGAGTGATCATGTGAAAGTTCAATATAGTTCATATTATCGACCAAATGTTTACTGAATACAAATTTTAAAGGGAATCCAGGGTTTGGCAATGGCATTATGTAGTCGTCTAATTTATGTGTATTGCTAGACCCCCTTCCTCATTAGATATTAACGGGAGTTGCACAGAAAAGCACGTATCGTAGCGCGGGTACTTGAACGGGAGCTTCTGCTTCTACGCAACACCAAACACGCTTTTGCGTAGTCAACGGATTTGAACACATTTAGGTGGAAACTGTTCGGGCGGAAACATCCGTTTGGGGAGTAACAGGTGACAAAAATTCAAAAAATAATATTCTTAATGTACTCGTATACAGAAAGTTCTGAGCATATCATCCGCCTATACTATAATATGAAGCAAAAGGATGTAAACATTTGCTCAGTTATCACTAGTTATTATTTTGTACCTTAAAGAATATATGTATATGGCTTGAACTAATATGAAGCTAATACCGACACCGTCTACGTCACTTCGAGTTCGAAAGATGGAGGTTCATTTATGCATATAGAAGAACGAGGATGCAAAACCGAAAGATTACGGCATTATTACGCACTTATCAAGCTGAAAGTGTCGTAGGAAAATCATTAGGCCGTATTTCAGGCATCTGCAGACGGATGGGCAGATGTACGTCGCATTTGACTGAAAGTGTTGTTATGGTTTCCATATTTTTCGATGACGTCACAGCGGTTACTGTATGTAGGCCCACTACACCTTTGCCACCCCTTTTCCTTTGCTTTTTCAGTTTGCCTTTTTCAACTTCACCTTTACCTTTGCCTTTGCCGCCGTGAAAACCTTTGCCTTCACCGTCCTAATTCACCGTTTCAAAACACCGTTTCGAGAAGCCTTTGACGTTAATTAACCGTAAAAAATCGAATTACCGTTAACAAATTGCCGTTCATAATATTTTTCCCTGCTCACTAGAAACTTTTAGATATCAGTTTTAGACATCACGCGAATCCGCGACTGCACTTAAATTGAAGGCTTATTTAGCAATCTGAAAAGAAGAAACGAAAAATAACGGGCCGCATCAGTAAGAAATAACGGGCCGAATCATGAACAAATCAGTAACATGAAAATTTACAAATCAGCACGTTTTTGTAGAAATTTGTATTCAAAATATGTGTAAACTTTCTTAAGCGCATACTGCACAGCTATGTACAGTGTAGTATCATTAGTATGTACATCACACAATGTAATAATTATGAAAAGTTTTTGAAGCAGATGCAGCAGGTAAAATGTCTTGAAAATGAAATGTGTTAACGGCGATTCGAAACGGCGTTCGAGACGGCGATTCGCGAAAGCTTTCGAAAAGGTTTTTTGCAACGGCAAAAGCTTTCGAAACGGTTTTTTTGGAACGATAAATTAGGACGGTGAAGGCAAAGGTTAAGGTTTTCACGGCGGCGAAGTAAAGGTAAAGGTAACGTTGAAACAGGCAAACTGAAACGGCAAAGGCAAAAGGGCGGCAAAGGTATAGTAGGCCTAACCGGTTAGTGTGGCACATTGGTGGATTTTTTTTTGCAAATCACCAAAGCAAAGCGAAGACTTTCTGTGTTTAAGAAAACAGAACTTCTGTCGGTCTTTCGGGCACATGGGTAACGTCTGTTACCAAAGTACTAAGTAATAATTTTAAGCTACCATATGGTGCTAAGTTTTTGATTTTGATAATAATAAACACAATTAATAAAAGGAAACCTTTTATAGGCACCACCTAAAACCCTTGTTTCTTATATACACATATACACTACTGTACTTTTCGCACCTTCTTTATTATAGCCACCCATTTTTGAATGATATCGTACCTAGTACTATATGACCCGAGACGTTTAAGCTTCTCTTAAGAAATTTGGCCCGGTACATCCACGGGGAACACCAGATTCGTGTACATCCACGGGAACGTTTGCTGTCACGCACTCCCACACACGTTTATGCATTGTTTGATGATATTAATTTTGGCAGCCAACGGATTTTTATACGTAGGCGTCAAATCCGTTTGCGCGCGCAACATCGATCCGGTTGGAAAGTTCTGGGTGAAT